TGCTGGCTTGCCTGCCTTTCTTTGCTTTCTCTTGCCGCCTGGCTCCCCATCGCTGTTGTTGCGGCACTTGGTGTCGGAGTGAGAGCGCGCCACCGCCGGCTGCGGCTCTGCAGCAAATGCCAACCAATGGCGGCGGCGGCGGTGGGGCCGGAGCGCCGCTCCCATCTTCTCCTCGAGCTCCGCCGCTGCCATTTCGCGGCGCTTGTACAGTTGGGGGGTTCCGGCGGTGCAAATCCGTCGTTGTTAGGGAAGGCACAGCAGCATTATGTCCTCATCTTTTGGGGTTTTTTGTTTGTTTGTTTTTTCCTTTTTTCGGTTTGTGGTGCCCGCTCTTTTTGGGAGGAGAGATGGGGTTAAATCCATTGTCTCTGCCTTGTCTATGTCTCACCGAAAGATACTGGGGCTTTGTTTACAGGACTGATGTGCTGATGAAGGCAGAGGTTTGGGGCTCATTATATGCATCCATTAAAATGAATGGGTTGTTGCATGTCCTTTTGAGAATGTGATATTGGTTACTTTTATGTTTTCTCTTTTCAAGTAGCTGTGTTCTGTTGATCCACAGCCTCCCAAGTTATCCCTTTTGTGATTTTATTTCTATAGTTTTTATTCTGCATTTTTAAAAAACACCACTTTAATGAATTTTATCACCTTATTCAGTTTTTGAGATCTAAAGTGAGTAAACATTTCTTAACGTTGAAAATGATTGAAAAATTCCCACTTCCCCTTTATTCTTTCATCTTTTTCTTCTGTCTATCCATCTGTCTGCAACAGTTTTTTCATGATGCGGAAATGTGAGCTATGGCATCTTATCAAGATAGAAAATCTGCCCCTGTAAATGGCCGTATGTACAGAGTAATGGAGCTATGCTTCGTATTTCAGTCAGAAGCTCCTGAAGTATAGTTGCTACCATTAACTTTATAAGTAGGCTTTTAAAATGTGATTCTAAGGTGTGCTTTGTCTCCAATATTTTAATAACTTCTGATGCTGTGTGCTAGTAACTAGGTATTCCTCTTCAATATCTACTTACTCTGTAACAGTTTCCAGAACATCTTGGTTGTTATCTTTGTATTTCAAGATGAAAATACACTCAACTAAACGAAATGAAGTTCAGAAACAAAGTCATGTTGATGAGGCTTGGCTAGTTCTGCCCAGAGAAGGTTCCAGGGTGACCATATTGCAGTCTTCCTAAACTTTAAAGGAGCTTATAAGCAGAAAGTAGATCAGTATTACATGGGTAAATGGAGATAGGACAAGGGAGGGGTGGCTTTAAACTAAAAGAGGGGAGATTTAGATTGGCTGCTGGGGAATAACTTGCTCAGAGGGCAGTGAGGCATTGGCACAGACTGCCCAGAGAAACTGTGGGTGCCCCATCCCTGGAGGTTCAAAGCCAGGTTGGATGGGGTCCTGGGCAGCCTGAGCTGGTGGGGTCACTCTGCCAATGGCGCGGGGTATGACTGGGTGGACTTCGAGTTCTCCTTCAAGCAAAGCCATTCTATGATATATCTCCAACAATTGTCACTGCACTTCAGTCTTTTTGTCTCTACTTGTAAATTAATGGACTCTGATTGTTTCTTTGTTTTTTCTGGAGCTCTTGGCCTTGGGAAGGTAAATTTGAATTCCAAGATGATGCTCAGGTGTATAGGCAATAGACACTGACAGAACTGTATTTCTGACTTGAGACCACAGAATAAGAATATTGTCCAGCAGCGTTTGTGCAAAGTTCTCTCCTGCTATTCCACCCTTAGCACTCTCAATGTATACTGGTCTGTGAAGGCGCAGCCAATGTTTACACCACAGAGGAGTTCATAGGTGCTCAGAGAGCAGCCACAGCTTGGCAGAGCTGATCTCAGTGCTTTCCTGCATTATTTTTATGCCAAAAGAAAGGCATACATGTGAGGAGGTAGGTATTCAAATGGGCCATAGTGTGAAAAGGTAACAGTTGTGCTGTTTTCATCAGAATTTTATAGAAAACTTTAGAAATCCTAAAGAATAAAGTTTGGTTGTGATTTTCACTGTTTAATCCTCTTCATCTCCATTTAGGTATGCCAAGTGGGTTTCTTCTGTAGGCCTATGCCAACTGTCTCATGTGATACCCAGAAATTCTAGGCTTTGAATGGACTCAGAGGTAGCAAAAGAAAAAGGCATTATTATAGCAATGATATGAACTGTGTTGTAGTCCTAGCTCCAATCAGAAATAAATTATTTTGAAAATTTATTATAACTCTACCAAAGATCAGTCTATAGTTAAAATTTATATTTGTACAAAGCAATTTAAAGAAAAAATGTGTGATTTTTCTGAAAATACAGGCTACAACTATAGTGCATAACACTTCCTCTGTCATCGTGTGTGTGTATATAAGCACATCAGAATTCTACACACCACAAAATCACTTCAACCGGTTTAAACAATTGTATTTTCCTCATGGGTAGTGAAATAACTTCAGCAGGGCTTGATTTTCTGATTCATGCTGAATTCAAAACTCAGTTATAAGTCCAGATTTAGTTTCATTACTAAGATTATTTTTTGTCTTTGAAAGAAATGAATCCAATATTTGTTACAGTTTAAAAGGAAAAAAAAAAAAAAAAAAAGTCAATGTTCTTTCAATTTGCTGATTAAATCAGAGCTTTCATCCCATTTAATGTTCTGGAAACCAAGCCATATAGGTCAGAAGATCTTATTTAAAACACATAACAAAGATAACCATGCCAGAGCCAGTATACTTTTTCAGGATGTATTTGTAGCTGCTGTGAGTGTAGGCTATTCCATAAGTATTCAGGTATATTTCATTTTGATGAGGGGAAAACAAAAAAGGTGGAGAAAACTCTCAGCTTTATCCCGGCGTTTTGTTTTGTTTTCCGCTCGGAGACTGTTGTCTCTACCTACTACCCCCGCCCAGGCAGCGGGAGGCACAGCGCGGCCCCGGCTGCGCCCACAACCAGCCGCGGATGGAGGCCGAGCTTCGCCGCTGAGCTGAGATTGAAAGAGCTCACTGTGATTGGTTGATGGGATTTGAATTGTCAGCCAGTAGCAGTGGGATTTGCGATGGACCAATTAGAGAGCTGCTCGTGAGGAGCGATACGTCACGGGCTCCGTTATCCAATCAGAAAGCAGATAGCGAAGGCCGTAGATTTGCATACAGCCCCTATAAAGAGGTGAGCAGTGCCAGCAGCCGGCACTCCACTGCGCCGAAGGGATTTGACGAGGAGTAGCTATGCCTGAGCCGGCCAAGTCCGCGCCCGCCCCCAAGAAGGGCTCCAAGAAGGCGGTCACCAAGACCCAGAAGAAGGGCGACAAGAAGCGCAAGAAGAGCCGCAAGGAGAGCTACTCGATCTACGTGTACAAGGTGCTGAAGCAGGTGCACCCCGACACGGGCATCTCGTCCAAGGCCATGGGCATCATGAACTCGTTCGTCAACGACATCTTCGAGCGCATCGCCGGCGAGGCGTCGCGCCTGGCGCACTACAACAAGCGCTCGACCATCACGTCGCGGGAGATCCAGACGGCTGTGCGGCTGCTGCTGCCCGGCGAGCTGGCCAAGCACGCGGTCTCCGAGGGCACCAAGGCGGTCACCAAGTACACCAGCTCCAAGTAGAGTGGTGCGGATTACTCGATTTTAACCCAAAGGCTCTTTTCAGAGCCACCATTTATTCTAATAAAAGGGCTGTGTTACTTCTGAGGGGTGTAGCGTAGGTTTTTAATAGAGTGAAACGAATGCGAGTGCTTGAGGTATAAATAACAACAAAAAAAATAATCGCTTAATTGAGTATTTTGGAGGTCTCAGTTCCGAATTAATTGAGCAGTAGCAACTCATGCAGTTAACGGGGTTGCTCGGTAACTGTGCTATTGCTGCAGCAGGGTACACGGTATTCCAGCAGCAGCCACTGCTGCTCTGCTGTCAGGACCCCGTCGGGAAGGTGAGTGCTTCGTTTTGCTTTTGATTCTTGTGATAAAAGCTATACCAAGAATATTTTATCTTACTCTAGAAATGCATTCCTAATAGAAAATCGGCGTTGCTGTTAAAAAAATAAAAAATAAAATAATAATCATAAAAAAAAAAGTTCGCGTTACATACATTGTAGCAGACCACCCTTAAAGAATAATCTTACTTCTCCCTATTTAATTCATTAATAAACGGATGAAAAACAGTCCCCGAGGCGTCGCTGTTTAGAACCAGCAGCGCTTTCTTTTTCCCTTTCCCTTGTCGCGCACTCCATCACCGGACGGGGAAGGACCACACGCTGTTTCTCCCCTAGGCAAAAGCAGCCGTAGAGCCGCGCAGGCGGCGGTTCCCTCACCGGGACCCGGGGGCGGGATGAGGCGGGGACGAGCGAGCGGCTCCGTAAACGTACGGGACGGGAGCGGGGGCGGTGCCGGGAGGGGGTTGGTGCTGAAGCGGACCAATGACAGCCTAGCGCGGGTTCTTTAAACCCCTCCCCAAGTAGGAGCCTGAGATTGGCACCGCCCCGCTCCGTCCGGCTGGGAAGCGCCGCTGCTGGCGCCTCGCTCCCGAACTGCACGTAGCCCATAAAGGAAGGGGCTCTTATCTCCCGTGAGTTGCAACTAGCGCGCCCAAATCTGAATCTCCGCACCTGAGATGATTAGTTGTGCTGCCGCGGTTCCCGCAGCATTCCAGCTCTTTTTGAGAGTAAGTGGGTGGCTCTTAAAAGAGCCTTTGGGTTTATTTAAACGAGCAGACTCGAATTTCTCCTATCATCTTACTTCTTTTTGGTTGCTGCCTTCTTTGCCTTGGCTGCCTTGGGTTTGGTCGCCTTAGGCTTGGCAGCTTTGGGTTTCACCGCCTTTGCCTTAGCCGGGCTCTTGGCAGCCTTCTTGGGGCGACCAGCCTTGGCAGCCTTCTTGGGGCTCTTTGCTGCCTTCTTGGTGGCAGCAGCCGCCGGCTTCTTAGCTTTCTTGGGGCTCTTCTTCACTGCCGCCGCCTTCTTGGGCTTCTTGGCAGCAGCCGCGGGCTTCTTGGCCGGTGCCTTCTTGGGCTTGGCCGCGGGCTTCTTCTTAGTCGCTTTCTCTTTGGTCTCGCCCGGCTTTTTATTCAGCTTGAAAGAACCGGAAGCGCCGGTGCCCTTGGTCTGCACCAGGGTGCCCTTGCTGACGAGGCTCTTGAGCCCCAGCTTGATGCGGCTGTTGTTCTTCTCCACGTCGTAGCCGCCGGCGGCCAGCGCCTTCTTGAGCGCGGCGAGGGAGAGCCCCTTGCGCTCCTTGGAGGCGGACACGGCCTTGGTGATCAGCTCGGTGACGCTGGGGCCCGCGGGCTTGCGGGCTTTGGCGCCGCCCGCCGCCTTCTTCGGCTTCTTGGCGGCCGCCTTGGCGCCGGGCGCAGACACCGTAGGCGCAGCAACGGGCGCGGTCTCCGACATGGTGACGACCGTCGTCCACAGATCGGGGGGAACCACTGGGCCTGGAGCAAGTCGGCGGCCTCGTATTTATAGAGCGGAGCCGCGCGGTGATTGGTGCTTTGCAGAGCCCGCCCCGCCGCACGGCGCAGAGCTCCCTTCTCCCCGCTCATTTTGTGTTTCTTAAGAGGCGAAAAAGCGCGTTTTTTCTACAATTTCCGCCACCTATTCGCCCCAACTTACAGCGGCGCGGAGGGCAAAGGCTGCTGCTGCCACGGGCGGAGTTTCTCTCCGGAGAGGCGAAGGGTGAGTTAAAAAAGAGCCGATAAACCCCGAGTCCTGGACCTGGGCAGACCTCGGGAGACAGAAACTTTTGTTTTTCCTTCTAAATAAAATCCGCACCGTGGGAAGTTGCACCCCCAGAGCAATGAATTATTGTTCTTTAAAGGGTCTTCTCTTAATCTGAGCCAAAACCCAGGAGCTGGAGTCGTTATTTTCATCGCAAATTGATTTCCAAGAGGAGGAAGTAACACAGGCTCATACAGAGCACTGAATATGGATTAGAAATTAGCTCCTTTGTCCCCAGTCCTTTGACCCATTAAAAATAATAAAAATCAATTAAATGAGTGCCTGATGCTGCAAGGTGAGGAGCAGCCTGACATCCCCTGAAGGACTTCTCTTGCCCCAGGAGGAGATGGCCTCAGAGCACTGCACTGCACTGCTGGTGCACCTGCATGCAGGGATCCGTCCCTGCTGCTGTTCCACAGAGGCACTGAGCAGCTCAGCCAAGGGGCTGACACGGGAGCAGATCTCACTGATCACTGTGGTCAGTACTCCAAATTCCATCCCTCAGATGTGTTTTTATTTTGGTCTGGTTTGGTGGACATCTGAGTCAGCGTGACCAAGGCAGACGCTGCTGCAGGTGGTTTCCCATTCCCCTACACTGTCATCAGGGCTCTCCCTGCAGAGTGCACCCTGCATACCCCACAGTTACCATGCAGAGCCCAACTTCCACCCTGGAAGCAGTGTCAGAAGCATCTGCAGCTCTGCAGGCCCTGTTACTCTGCCAGCAGGAGGGGGAGAGCCTCTGGCAGACATCGAGGCCATGGAATAAACGCATTTAATTTCTCATATCAAGAAGTGCTCATTCCAATTCTGTTTTTTTTCCCATATCAGAAAATGTTCATTCTATTTCTCTGCGCTGTTTCTATTGCTGTCTGCAACCCTTGTTTTTCCCACAGCCACCTGTAACCATTTGTGGCACTACAACGTAACATCATTTTGCTTCCTGTAATTTCTTGTTTTATTAAAATGTGCTCTCTGACCTATGAATGGTGATGTCTGTTTCTGTCTCAACATCTCTATTACAGTGTTCACTGGTGTGGATGAAGTGCAGCCAAAGCTGGCAGCATTTCTCCTTAGCTCACACAGCTCTCATCCAGGTGTAATGCAGTAGAGGCACAGCTTGGACAAAGCCATGGCAAAACTGCATTAAAAATTAACTTGGAGTGCGCAGAGAAGGAGTGACTGAGCCTCCAGGCACTGCTGGGGCAGGCCAAGCTCCCCAGGGGGACCAGCGAGCTCTCAGCTTGATACAGACTGGAAAAACCTTGCTGATGGCTGTTGCAGCAATATTCAACATTTTGCCTTTCTCACCCCTACCAAACAGATTCCTTGAACACAAAATCTAACTTTGTGGTCTTCTAGCACACATTCAACTTTTAGTAAATTATTTGATCGCGTCTAGTGTTTACGCTAATATGCTACCTTCATGCTAACACCTGATTTTTAGCAGCAAAACCAACACAGGTATTTTTGGGATCTGCAGCTCCTTTACGAGGAAGTGGGTGGCTCTGAAAAGAGCCTTTGGGTTCCTTGGAGATAGGATCACTCCTCAGCTTTTACTTGGCCTTAGCCTTGTGGCTGTCGGTCTTCTTGGGCAGCAGCACGGCCTGGATGTTGGGCAGCACCCCACCCTGCGCGATGGTGACCTTGCCCAGCAGCTTGTTGAGCTCCTCGTCGTTGCGGATGGCCAGCTGCAGGTGGCGGGGGATGATGCGCGTCTTCTTGTTGTCGCGGGCCGCGTTGCCCGCCAGCTCCAGGATCTCGGCCGTCAGGTACTCCAGCACGGCCGCCAGGTACACCGGGGCGCCGGCGCCCACCCGCTCCGCGTAGTTGCCCTTGCGCAGCAGCCGGTGCACGCGGCCCACGGGGAACTGCAGCCCGGCCCGCGACGAGCGCGACTTGGCCTTGGCGCGCGCCTTCCCGCCCTGCTTCCCACGGCCCGACATCGCTCCTAACAGCACGACCAACCACCGCCCTGCTGACGCGACTCACGTGTCGCTACGCTCCCTCCCCTTCCCCTTTTATAGCCTCCCGAAGCAGCCCGACTCGCTTTCCGATTGGCTGGCGCGGTCTCTCTCTCGCTCTGACCAATGGCGCCGCGGATCCAAATCTACCCAATGGGCGGCGGGCGGCTGCCCGGCTCCGCGCACCCCAATTTCATCAGCGCTCCGCGGCGGTGGGCGTGGCGGCCCCGGCAATTGGTTTCGCTGTCGTTTCTGAGCGGTTTGATATCGGGGTTGGCAGCAGCGCTCGGAGCTGGATTTGACCTCCATGCCATCGGCCACTGCTTGCACGATGCTGAGGAGCCAGGCGAGGACGTGAATGAATACACTGAAGCACGAGCAGCCCCAGCTCCCGCTGCTTTGGTAAAAGCAATGGGAAGAAGTCACCTCTTTGTGCTCTTTTCACTTAGATCTGCACTAAAGGCAAAGAAGAGAAGC